TCAGTTAAGGAGCTTTGCTAGGGTAAAGTACACACTATCGTTGACAATAATTGCTTTACCATTCACTGATTGCTCGCAAAAATGGAACTGGACCTTTTGAGGCTAGTCAGACCTTCGCTAGTCAGTATGGTATACTTTGTCAGTACAGGGTGCTGGAGAGATACTGCAAGAGGAAGGGTTTTTCCTTCCTGTTTCAGTGGCTCCTCTTGATAGGATCCTGAAGCACACCTGACTTCTCCAATTCTAACTTCTGCCACGCTGGTAACTTATTCAGTGCCAGCTCTTGCATGCGGGTAGCACCCAGTGGCAGCTTCTTCTGGTACTCTCCAATAAGGTCAGACTCTCAGGCAAGAGGGGCAGGGAGCCTCTTCTTTAGGTGTTCTACCTCAGCTTTAAGGTTAGAGGCTCCTTCTTATATTTGCTTTTCTCATACTCATTAGCACTGTCTTTACTTAACTATCCATGCCTCCCTATAGCAATCCTCTGCTGAAGTTAGTACTTCCTTGTATTCAAATTACCTTGTTCAAATTACTATGTGGCTTTTGGGTCTTAATTGAAACCTGACTCATACACAGAACCCCTCACCCCCAAACTTTGCAGCTGTGATCCCCTCAACTCTGAGCTTCTGATAAGCCATCTGTATTTGTCAACAAAGGGCTCTTGGATGTGGCTGACCAATGTATAGAGATTGCTAAGCTGATTGCAGTTTCAGTTATATCATGAAAGGATTCGAACCAGTGTTGAAAAACCTCCAAACACCTAAAATTGATTTTTATTTCCATTCAATTTAAAATAAATCTATGATCTTGAGTGTTTGAAAATAGAGCTTATCACACCTTTTTTTTTTTCCTGGATAAAAGGTTTACATGTTAATCTAAACCAATTGATATTAGCATCTTTATTCTTAAACACTTCACTATGCTACTTTCCACAATACAAACAGGCAACATTTATGATGTCAAATATTAAAAGCAAAGACTTTAAAATCAATACTTCAAAATATAAGAAAAGAGGAGGTTAAGTAGTTTCTCAGTCAAGAATGACTGACGACAGAAATGAGTACTTCCGATAGCATATAACTTTGACCATTTCCTTTTCCTGATTGCTCTAACTCTCCTGATTTTTAATTTTTATTCCTTCTCAATTTCCTTTACAGACTTTCCCTGTCCATCCTTTAAAATGTGAGTGTTTCCCTGGACTCTCCCCTTGGCTCTCATTCATCACTGGTGCTGGGTGAGTTTATCCAGTCTTAGGTAACGCTTCCTGCATGGGTATCTGCATCCGAGGCCAGTCCCTTGAGCTCCAGAGTCTTTTTATGTGTCCATAAGCCCTAGTCTAGGGGTCAGCAGATTATAGGAAGTGGGCCAAATTTCTCACACAGCTTATTTGTATACATAAAATGTTTTGGAACCAGCCTCCCATGTTATCTGCAGTTGCTTTCCTAATACAATGGCATAGTCGAGTAGTTGTGACAGAGAATAGGGCCTGCAAAACCTATGACATTTAATATCTGACCCTTCACAGAAAAGGTTTGCTGACCCTTGCTCTAGCCTAAGCTGAGTGTGAGGCATGACTGAGCATATATTTAAAGAGTGGAGTAAACCCTTCAACAGTAGATTACTTGCATCTCTCTGTATGAGTGAGGGAGTAAAGCTCACTCTGGAACTCATTACCAAGTCCCACGAATAAAGACTACCATGGCAAAGAGAAGGGTTATTTTGTTAGAAATGTCATTCTGGGGACATGAGGAACATAATGCTCAGTGCTCACTGCTGTAGAATCATCCAGAGAGCACTCAAAGACAGATTTCTAGACTTCATTCCCAGTGATTCTGATGAGTAAATCTGGGGAGGGGCTTGAGAATCTGAAATTTTAGAATGCTCTCCAGGCAGTTGTGATATGTAGCAAGTAAGTAGTCAGTATTTGGAAGTCAAATTCATCTAAAAATCCATTCCCAAGTAAGAGAGTCTTTTCATTTTTGATGAATCATTAAAAAGAGACCATTTCATTTCCCTTGATTTACATATTCCCGAGTCTCCAGCTTTAGAAAATTAAAATAAAGAATTCAAAATCTCTTAGCACTGATTTTTCTCAACGACTCTCCTTGACGTAAGGGTTACACAAAAATACTATGCTTCGGGTCTCCCCGGTGGCGCAGCAGTTGAGCGCTGGGTTGCGAGGCTGCCCGCGGCCTCGCAGCGCTGGTTCGATGATCACCGGCTGCATCACCTGAGGAGGGTCCCACATGGCGCGCAGACCTCTCCTGCCGCCCGCTGCTCCCCTCAGCAGTGTCCTTCGGTCCTTCTGCCTGCTCTGCTCCCCGCTCTGGCTCTGGTGAATTCTCTCGCCCTCCCGCGCTTCTGACTGTACTCAGTGCTTGTATAAATAAGTCCCTAACAAACAAACAAATAAATAAATCTTTAAAAAAATATATACTATACTTCAACACTGTGTGGTATTTTCAAAGAGCTTTCACATGGCTCACCAACTCTGCGCGGTAGGGTGAGATCCAATTTGCTTCAGCATCCTTAGCATTTACTTGGGTTTTATTATACATACCCAACCCAATCCCTATCAACCCCTTTTGTCCAGGGCGACTTTACTTCCAGTCTGTTTATCCATGCACTGGACAACAACAACAAAAACCCTGAAGGCTGGTTACCAGGGTATACAGTAGTCAAGTTATAAAATTCCTGCCTGCATGGAGCTTATATTCTAGCTGGGGGTAGCCTTCTCCTTAGAAATGCCCCTGCCTATCCTACTCTGAACCTTCCAAGCAGAAATCAGAGAAAGGTAACATTTGTCCCCCGGCCTCGCCATATCCTGTCTTGTAAAGTCCAGGACCAGCGCTGTGGTGTTTGTCTGCTGCGTAGCATTGGAGACTACACGTTGGCTCCACATTTACATCTCTTCTGACACTGTGTGTGCAGTCGAATATGACTTCTCTGCTTCTCATCTCACAAAGGATGAGCCTCGTCAGCGTGTAGTTGTAAGTCCTCGTATGACTGAGTGCTTTTCAGTGATTCCGACAAGAAGCCAGTGTCACACCTGACTGAAGATTAGACCCCACACCCACAGGTTCTCTTAGGAGGACAGCTGGAAAACGCAACAAAGGATGTCAGAGCTAAGCGAGACCTCAGACACGCGCCCCACCTTAAGGTGAGAAATCCGAGGCTCAGAGAGGTCACCCAGATTTCCTCAGGTCACACAGCCCCCGTGAAGGATGTGAAATCAGTGACCAAATCCGACCTCCGGTGTCACCTACAGTCCCCAAATCTTAACTCCCGCGTCAGGTCCACCCTCTCACCGCTGCCACCCGCCCTCCTCCCTCGTATTCATTCCGAATCGCTCTTTCTCGCCGAAGGCAAGTCGTTTAAAACTTGAAGTCGGGCCATTCCACAAACAGGTGTCCGCACCGCAGACGCGCAGTCGGGGGCTCTGGGTCTCCACGAGCCCGCCCAGAACTCTCCGGCTCCCGCTTACAAAGTTTTCTCGGGTGGTACGTTCCTCGCGCAGCCCCTGGCTGCGAGGCCAAGATGCCTGCCGTGGCCTCCGCCGAAGTTCGGAGATGCCATTTCCTCGCCGAGCCCCGGCGCGCGCGTCGGCCGCCGAGCCCCCTTGCGGGGCTCGGCGGCCGACGCGCGCGGCGGGGCCCGGCAGGCGGCGGGGGAGCGCCCGGCGCGGCGCGGCGCGGCGCGAGGCGGGGCGGGGCGGCCCCTCGGCGCGCGCTGCCCGCCCCGGCTGCGAGGGCCGCGGGCCCGCGAGCCCCGGCGCTGAGGAGAGGCGCGCGCGGGCCGTGGGGGCTGGGCCGAGGCGGAGCGCGAGCGGCGGCGGCGGCGGGAGGCGCCGCGGGACCAGGCAGCGGCCCCCGCCCCCGAAGTCCGTCCCCGCGCGGGGCTGGGGAGCGCGGGGCGGGGAAGGCGCGGGGCGCGCCACGTCCCTCGCCCGCCCCGGAGCGGGTGGTGCAGGCGGCTGCAGGCTGGGGGCTTTTGTGTCTGCGACTCGGGAGCGGCGAGAGCGCGGACCTCCTCCTCAGAGGGCGCTGTGAGTGCGCCGCCAGGGCCGGGCCGCCCGCCGCCCGCCTCGCGCCTCCCCTGTCAGCGGCTCCTGAGGCGGCGGCGCCGAGGAGGCAGCCGGAGCGGGAGGCGCGGCGGCGCGCTCGTCCTCCACACATGCCGGCCCCGGGCGGGGGGCCGCCCCCAGGCCGCGCTCCCCACCGCCGCCGCCGCCGCTGAGCCCGGCCGGCCCCTGCTCGCCGCCCGGCCGCCCCAAGGCCTCGTCCTCCTCCCAAACTTTGCAAAGTCGGCCCGCGTCCCCGCCGCCCTCGGCCGCGCCTCAGCTCCGAGGCGCGCCTCGCCTCGCAGCCGCAGCGGCCCCGCGACGAGGAGGAGGAGCCGCCGCCGCAGCATCAAAGAGACCGAATTCCCGCGGCCTGGGGGGGAGTCATGCTTTGCGGTCTGTAATGTCAGCAGAACAGGAGAAGGATCCCATTTCGCTGAAGAGAGTTCGAGGTAACCGCGACGGGCGCCGGATGGCGGGGGCCGGGGGGAGTGGGGCGCGTGGGGGCCGCGCGCCCGGGCGCGGGGAGGCCACGGGGCTCTGTCCGGGCCTAACTCCGCGCAGCCCGCGTCCCGCCTCCGCCCCGGGGCCGAGCTGCGGTCGGAGGTGCGCGGCCCCGGCGCCCGCTCGCCCCCTAGACACCCGCGCGCTGCCCTCGCCTCCCCGACTTTGTGTTTGGAGGCAGTTGCAGCCGCGCTCGCAGCCCTCCCTACCCCGCACCTCTCCCACCTTACCTCGTCCTCAAGACGCAGCACAATAGGCACCTCGGAGGGTGCGAGAGAAACACCCCTTGGCAGAGACCACGAACGATGCCCACCCCCCCCCCAAAAGTAAGTTGGACTGCCCAAGAGTTGACGCTCTGGAAGGCGTACCCGGCCTTCGCGTCTCCCCCAGGCCCCCTCTGCGCACCCACCCCCAAGCCGACAAGCTACTGCTTCTTTTCCTCAGGTTTAGGAGACACTGTCCAAATTCAAAAGGTATTTTCTTTATTGGCTTGTGGATGGGAATCACACCGCCTAAAATCAGGCTCTGCCTGACTGGTGTGCTTCGTCCTTGCACGCTACTTAGGATTGTGCTGCTGCCTTACTCTCTAAGAAAAATCAGAGGGAACGATGTACCAGACAAAAGATAACACATGTAAGTTCACAGACGCCAAGTGCCATCTGGAAATTTAGGGGCTATTCTCCAGCTCTCGTTTTCAGCTTTAACAGGGTTAAGGCTGAAAGTCCCAAAGTTGAGGTCATCCTGTTTGTTCATTGAGCAAATATTTATTGAACATCTACTGTGTGCCTGGCACTGTCCTGGGCACAGGGATACCACAGGGAACCACAAAGCAGAAAGACTGTCTTCACTCAGTAGGCGTTCACTCTCTCCTGGGGTAAACAAATGATGAACCAATAAAAGATATACAATGTCAAATCGTGGTATGGAGAAAAGCAAAGCAGGGAAAGTGCTTAGGGAGTATGTGTGGAGGAGGCAAGGTAGCCATTATATGTGGGAGGGCTCACCTGGGAGTTGATGTTTAAGAAAGAATCAGAGCAGTGGCAGAGTGGAGCCATATGGACTCCAGTGGGAAGCTCAGTCTCATCAAAAGGAACACCAAGTGCAAAGGGCCAGCGTTTGGAATTTGCCTACTGTATTCATGCAATAGCAAAGAAGCCGGGGTAATGCTCCTGGGGAGCAGAGGGTATGAGCTGAGCTGAAGGGTAGGATAATTGCCTGTGGGGGGGCCTCTGGAGCCTTTTAAGACTTCAGGTAGGGATTAGGCAGTTCTGACTTCTCTTTTTGAAGGACTTTCAGGCTGCTATGTGGAGAGTAGACTGTAGAGAATTACAGTTGAATTGAAGCAGGGAACCCGGTTAGGAGGCTATTGCTCTAGTCCTTTCATCCAAACAGAGTAAAATGCTTGTAAGTCAGTAAATAGGAAGGTAAATTTCCACTTGACTTAAGTGATGTAGTGATCAAAGGCCACAGATATTCCTCTGTGTTTTTGTTCTCTGTGACTAGAAATTGGTCATTTTTATAGAGCTAACTTGTGACATGGACAATGTGGTGTCCTGAAAATATCCACTTAAGGTATTTAGATAGATTGATTTTCTTAGCTGTTGAAGCCAAATCATAATTGAGAGGAGAATATTGTGTGAAAGGCTGAATATCAGCACAGTCTTTCATTTGATAAAGGTTTTTTTATTTCAACTTTCTGTATGGTTTGTGGTAATGAGTTGCCTAAGACTTCAGGATTAGACCTTTCTGGAATACAATTATTCCTCTGATATTTTTGCTTTATTATTTTGCCTATTATGAATGGCTTTGGGGTTGAAGGAAAAGAAGGAGAACTATTAAGTGAATACCTTTGAATTCAGTTATCAAATGTAATTTTAAATACAATGGACGGGCATTTTATTGTGGCTCTAGAGCTCACATCTGTCTTCATTTTGTTCCAAATGCTACTTTTAAGTTTTATACCTTTGCTACTGAGAGTTAAGGTGTCAGCTTAAGAATATTCTGAGTGTTAAGTACCAGAATAAAAGACAAGGCACTTTTAAAATAAAAATTCAGTCTGGGGGGGAGGGGGTTATAAGTCATTTTGTAATAATGAGAATATTATGTTTTAGAGAATTTGTATATATATTTGTACTTTTATAATCAATAAAAGGTACCAGAATATATCTATATAAGTTTTTCTGAACCATTTTTCTGCATTTTACTGCCCTGAAACTTTTTATTATAACTCATATCATCAGATTGCATGCAGGATGTAGTGTTTGCAGAGCATAAATTCTTCAGCAGTGCTTCTCAAATTGTTTCCCAGCCACTGATGTGTACAGACTCTTTAATCATTATGTATATATTTCATGTATATTACAAAAAATGTAAGTCATCAAACCCTCTGCTTAGGACAAGGCTAAAAATATGTATGTTTTTATTTTATTGAAATTATTAAGAAAATAATATTATAGATAGTACTCAGATATGGCAAAAGATATGACATCATGAATGACTAAGGAGTTTACAGAAAGTAGCGTGCTCTGTAGACCAAAAGCATAGTAACACCCTGGGATGCTTGTCAGCAATATAGATTTCTGGACCCACAGAACTGGGATTTCTGGACGATTTCTCTGCATCTTTATTTATTTATTTATTTATTTGTTTATTTATTTATTATTTATTTTTGCATAGAAGCACTGAGGTGTAGGTCAGAGATTGGGGGTTGGGGGGATTAAGGGCATTCACCAGAGACAGAGTGGGGAGCAGAACAGGTAGATTAACTGAAATACACTGCTGAGGGGAACAGTGGACTAGACAGGAGAGGTCTGCTGTGCCTTATGTGCATTAGCTCCCTGGCCGGGGATCGAACTTAGGCTGTAGCAGCCATAACCTGTAGGACACCAAGGAGGCCCTTCTGAGCATCTTTAGCAAGATTTCTCCCCACACACTCTGGTTGCATTAAATCTTTTGCATTTTTAAAATAAACTCTCCAGACATTTCTTGTATACACTGATTTTGGGAAATGCTACTGGTAGACCTTGCTTGCAAAGATGAATGGGCCATAGGGAGCTGATTTGTGGTCTTCCAAACTTGTCTTGATATTTTAACATTAGATTCAGAATTACTACTTAGTAACAAAGTATCTGACTCCTATTTTCTACCATTTCTTACCATTTATAACCCAGGCACTCAGCCCTTGATTATGGCACATCTAAGAGGAGAGGTACAGTATCTTAATTATCTTTCTATTTCTCCCTCAATAGCTTTCTCCACCATAAACAGTACACAGTAAATGAATGAGTGAATACATGAAGTGATTCATTTCTACCTTTACACTGCTTTCTGATTGTCTGTAGCTCTTCATATTACTCTTACTTGCTCTTTTCCCTTAGAATGTAAGCTATCATCCTTATTTTGTACACTTACACTCTTAGGTGTTGATCTGATGATAATATTCTTTTGTTTTCAGCAGATAGCTATTGAGCAGTCACAGTTTCAGAGAGTAGGAGTATATTCATTGAGAGGACAAAACACCTTTCTTCGAGAAATTTTTAGCCTAGTACAGTATACATTACAGATAGTGTAATGAGTGTTGTTATCATCTATAGGAAATAAAGAACATATAACCTGTATGTAAGAGAATCAAGAAAGGCCTCCTGGAGAAGTGTTTTAAGAAGCAATGGTGTTCCTTTGCATTAATGCTGTAGAAAGAGCAACAAGAAGGATGAGGTCTGAGAAAAAGGTCTTTGATATCACTGTCGATTTTGAGAAGGTATGTTTGGAAGAAAACCGCATTTCAATGTAGTAAAGATATGACTTAAAGAAACTTGATAGTAGAAAGAAAGAAGCCAGTAACTTGAAAAGACAGAGTCAAGAGAAAGTTTATATGAGTACTTTTTCACTTAAACGTTTTTATACAGAGAACCAGATATGGAAGGAGATGAGAAAACTGAAAAGGCAAGTAAAAAGGATAATTCAGTCATAAAGCATGGATAAAAACATTAAATACATGTTTTTTAATATAACATGTAGGCACTTAACCATTCTTGAAGTTGGGGATGGGACACACAAGTCTCCTATTTTCATAAATCAGGTCTTTGCAGATGAGAAAACAGAAATAGCACTAAGGCTGCAAATAAACAGTCTTAGAGAAAAAAGAGACCAGAGGAAGAAAGACAAAAGTTTAGAGATGAAGAAAAAAAAGTTGAAGGCTTTCATTTCAGACAAAATGCTGTTAACCAGAGTCTACTTTGGAAACAACATTGGAAACAACACAATGTATTTTAGAAATGTCACAGAAGTACTAAAAGTAAACCTTAGGCTGGAGAGGAAGCATAATATGCTCAACGGTTGGAGGCAAAGAACTGATGAAAGTCTGAAGGAAAAGGTTTTTTTATTGTTTTGTTTTTTTAATTGGATTATATAACAGCTAGACAGAGTGTTGGGAAAGTAAATTTTGTTTAACACACAATGCACACTATCCCTTTGGGATTTTCCAGTGTATGCAGTGGATATACAAGGTTTGTAACTGCGGTAAGTGGTCTGAGCCAGAAATAGAGATCTGAAAGTTATCAGTAAACAGGTGACTATAATTGATACCTTGGGAGTAGAAGAGCTCACCTAAGAGAGAATAAAAACTAGAAGCAAAAGCTTTGAGAACAGCAAGTTTGAGGATACTAACATTTATGAGACAGGAGGGAAAGAATTGAAAAGGAGAATGTGAAGGAGTAGCCAGAGAGGTAGGGGAGAAAACCATAAGAGAATGGTGTCCAGATATAAAAAAGTGAACTTAAGAGGAGGAAATGAATGTTGTTTCTATTGTGTCAAATGATAGGCATCTGTGGTATGCTCTTTCTACCATATTTCTTCTCTACGAGAACATGGCCATCATTTATCCAGTGACCCATATGCATCCCATATGCATCCCCTGCCCTCTTACCCATCAGTTTCCTAAAGATGTAGAATATCTGTCTCCTTAATATGCTTTGAACCCATCATCTGCTTGTCCTTTGCACAGCCACTTCAGGTTTTGCTTATTCTTTGATTATTACAATAGCCCTCTCACTCATTTCCTTGTCTCCTGTTTTATCTCCTTAATCAACTTTATTCTTAGCTAATGCTGCTGATGAATAACTAGGTCTATTGACTACCAAGCAGTTTGCTAAGTATTTTAAAGGAATTGTCTTGCTTAATCTTTTCAATAATCTTTTGAGTTACATGTTATTATCATTCTAGGTTTATAGTTTATGAATTGATGCTCAGAGAGGTTAAGTAAATGTATGATTAGGTAACATATTCTAGTTTACCCAGCTGGTAAGTGACAAAGCTAGAACTTTAAGGCTTAACCATTATGTTTCATTGTTCTAGTGCTCCCAAAACAGAATTCAATCACGTTACCCTTTTTTTGGTAGAATTATTTGGTAGCTCCCTGTGTTTATATTAAAAATCTTACTTCTTTTGGGCCTCCCCTGGTGGCTCACATGGTTGAGCTCAGCGCTGTGAAGCTGTCCGCAGCCTCTGCAGCGCCAGTTTGATCCCAGCAGGCCGGCGAGGGTCCCTCATGGCGCAGCAGACCTCTCCTTTTGCTCCCACTGCTCCCCTCAGCAGTGTATTTCGTCAGTCTACCTGTTCTGTTCCCTGCTCTGTCT